AAATCATCTGCGTATGCCAACGACCACACTCTGTTTTTCCCTAGTTTTATTCCGCCTGTTCCCCTCTTTTCTAGACGTTCATCTAGATCCGCAATGTACAAATTAAACAGCGTCGGACTCAGTACACACCCCTGTCTCACTCCCTTCTTCGTCTTGAATTCTTCCGATTAGACCATTCCTTCGTCCTAATTGCTGCTCTCGTATCTTCATAAATTTCCTTCATCCTCTGTATTAGTGTCCCATTGATGTTTTTCCTCTCCAGTATCTCCCATAACTCCTTCCTATTCACATTGTCAAAGGCCGAACTCAAATCTGCAAAAAGGCATACACTTTCTTTCTTTTTCTCCTGCTTTCCTCTCTCTCTGTACCAGATGACTTAGCACAAAAATATTATCCATGGTCCCCCTACCCTTCCTAAAGCCACCTTGGCTCTCGGGCACTAGGGTCCCATGCTCGACTTCATCTTTCAACCTTTTCCTCAACACCTCCGCGCAGATCTTGTACGCTGTGCAAAGCAACGATATCCCTCTATAGTTCTCCATTTTCTCCGTGTCTCCTTTCTTATAAATCGTTGCTATGACGCTTTTTCTCCAGTCCTCTGGTATTCCGCCTCCTTTCCATATACACGTCAGCAGGTCTGCTAACCTCCTCTTCACCTTCCCCCCTCCGTACTTCCACGCTTCCATAGGAATACCGTCTATCCCTGCTGCCTTTCCTTTCTTCAGCTTCTTTACTGCCTCCGCTATTTCCTCTGTCTTCAGTTCCCTTTCTACTTGTTTCTCCTCCTTTATCTTCCCCCTTTCGCTTTCCCTTTCTTCCTCTACTTCCTCTCCTCCAAGCAATTTTCTAAAGTACTCATTCCAACTTTCTTTACTTATAGAATTTTCCACCCAGTTACTTTTCCCTCTTTTCTTGTTAATTACCTTCCACACCTCAGCCTCATTTTTTAAATTTCTTAGTTTTCTTCTTTCTCCTTCCACTTCCTCTTCTTCTCCTCCACATGCTCTTTGAAACTTCTTCTTTCTTCCAAGAATCTTTCCCTACTCGACTTTCCTATCCTCCATCCTTTGTATAATCTATGTACTATTCTCTTCTTCCTCGTGCAACTCCTGTCCCACCATTCCTTGTAACCTAGTTTCTTCTTTCTTCTTTTTATTCTTACTCTTATCATTGCGTCCTTCACCAACTCCTTTACCGCCCCCCATTTTTCTTCTACTGAAACTTCGCTTATCTCCTCTTCGTCTTCTTCCCCTTCTGTCCTTTCCTTATATAATTCGATGTCCTCCTCCTTCCATCTATATCTCCATTCCTCTTCTTCACTCCTCTCTTCCCCTCCTGCGTTCTTCTCTCTTCCTTCCTTTCCTTTAATTCCAGTACCAGGGGCATGTGGTCTGTGTCCGTCCGCCCTATTACCTTAAAGCTACTTACAACGTCCATACAATAATTATTCGCTATTACATAATCGATCGTGGAGCTGCTCCTCTCTCCTATGTAAGTGTATTCGCCTTCCCCGTCTCCTATCTTTGTCCCATTCATGATATTGCCGCCTATTTCCCCAACTAAATCTACTAAATCTCTGCCTCTGCTGTTAACTACCTTATCCTTACTTTTTCTTACGACACTCCATCCCTCCTCGTCATTTCCTCCCTCTAAACCAATTCTTGCATTAAAATCCCCCCCTATTACTATATACTCCTCTTTATTCTCTTCT